CCAGAAAGATCTGTGGAGACATTTTCTATATTCCAGAAAATGCATGTGATCAAGAAATACTTCTACCAAGCATTTCTGATGTAGCAAGTTTAAACTGTGTTCAACTGTCGTGCGTGTGTGTGTGTGTGTGTGTGCGTGCGTGCGTGCGTGCGTGTGGTGTGTGTGTGTGCGTGTGTGGTGTGTGTGTGGTGTGTGTGTGTGTGTGTGTGGTGTGTGTGTGGTGTGTGTGTGTGTGTGTGGTATGTGTGTGTGTGTGTGTGGTGTGTGCATGTGTGTGCGTGTGTGTGTGTGTGTGTGGTGTGTGTGGTGTGTGTGTGCGTGTGTGTGTGTGTGGTGTGTGCGTGTGTGTGTGTGTGTGGTGTGTGGTATGTGTGTGTGTGTGGTGTGTGTGTGTGTAGTGTGTGTGCGTGTGTGTGTGCGTGTGTGGTGTGTGTGTGTGTGTGTGTGTGTGTGTGTGTGTGTGTGTGTGTGTGTACTGGGGCTTGAACTCAGGGCATCACCTGCTTGGCTTTTTCATTCCACTGGTGCTCTACCACTTGAACCATACTTCCACACCTGGCTACTGGCTGGTTAAACTGGATACCGATAAGAGTCTCCCAGATTTGCCCAGGCTGGCTTCTAACCATGATCCTCAGATCTCAGCCTCCTGAGTAGCTAGGATTATAGGTGTGAGCTACGTGTCTCTACAACTGCTGCGTACTCCCCACTCCCACCTTCTGTCTGTTCCTCACACAGCAGCCCTTGGTGCTACTCAATCATGTCTACCTTCCAGGGGCTCTAATCTCACTTTGGGTAAAACAAATCCACATCTTTCCAGGACTACAGCCTAGATTTCATAATCTGCAACCTCCCCTCCTCTGCCCGTCCTTTGCCATGGCCACAGCAGCCCCCTAGGGATTGTGTAGCCCCACAGCCCCACAGTCCAGCTTCATGGCCCTTGTACCTGCTGTTCTCTTTTGCCTGGAGCACCCCCTTCTTCGGCCTTCCAGCTCTGCCCCCTTAGCTTACTATTCACCAACTTAAAATCAAATCCTAGCCAGACGCTGGTGGCTCACAGCTGCGATCCTAGCTGCTCAGCAGACTGAGATCTGGGGGCCACAGTTCAAAGCCAGTCAGGGCAGGAAAGTCCATGAGACTCATATCTCCAATTAACACCCAGAAAACCAGAAGTAGAGCTGCGGCCCAAAGTAACAGAGTGCTAACCTTGTACAAAGAGCTCAGAGACAGTGCCTAGGCCCTGAGTTCAAGCCCCATGATAAAAAAAAAAAAAAAAAATCAAATCCTAGCTAATCTGAAGGCTGATATTTGAGGTTTGTGATTTGAAGCCAGTCCGGGCAGAAAAGTCCTTAACACTTTTATCTCCAAGTTACCAATAAAGGCTGGAAATGGAGATGTAGTAGAGTGCCAGCTTTGTGCTAGGCACAAAGTCCCAGGCCCTAAGTTCAGGCTCCAGTACTAGCATCCCCCCCCCCCACACACACACACAAATCCAATCAACACCATTCTACCACCCTGCACAACAGGCCTTTGCTGCCTGGTGTGTTAGTGCTGGAGGTCATCTATGCTGTGTCGTCCCCTGAGCTCACTGGGCAAGCAGGGATTATGTGCGGCAAGGCCTTACCCACATCAAGGAGATACAACTACTTCTCAGATGAGTGGATGCAGAACCAAGAAATCTGTTACAGGGAAGGAGGCGACCCTGCTGGAAGCAGGTGGGATTCAAGGTGGAAACTGTCCTTGCCAACTTCTCTAGAAACAACCATCTTCCCTCTTCCAAGAAGGTAGTATGTGGGGAATCTGGAACAAGTAATAAAACGTAGTTTTTGAACTCAGGTCCTAGGTGCTGTCCCTGAGCTTTTTTTGCTCAAGAGCAGTGCTCTACTAAAGTCACAGCTCCATTTCTGGCTTTTTTTGGGGGGAGGGGAAAGGAATAGGTAATTAGAGATAAGTGTCTCGTGGACATTTTTTGCTGGCTTTGAACTACAATCCTCAGATCTCAGTCTCCTGAGTAACTAGGAATACAGGCATCAGCCACCAATGCCCAGCCAAGTAATAAAATCAAACAGAATGCTAACAGTCTCCTGAATATTCAGAGAGCTCACCAGGGCAAGCCTCACAGTATGAGGCAGGCCTTCGGCCACCAATGAAAACATGAAGTTCCAGATAAGTCAAATCAAGATTAATGATGCTCCCACTTTCTGTTACAAACGTAATCCTTCCCACAGAGGTCCTGGGTTATCTTAAGCTCTCAGCTCGTGCTCACAGCCTGGGTTAAGATGCATTAGTGGAGACCTGCCTGCTGCGTGACTTTGCCCCCAACAGTGCCATCCTTTGCCCCTTGCCTGGGCAGAAGGCTGAGTTCAGGAGTGGAAAACAGGACTGGAGTCAGAGCACAGGCCCACAAGAGAATGCCCATCTCATACCTCCACGAGAACGGGCCTCAGAAGTCCTGATCGTAAACTAAAGTCCCCTCCTCCTTTCTTGCTATCACTCTCCTGAGCCTGTGGCCTTGGGTCCGGCTCCCTAAACCTTCCCAAGTTCTGATCTCTCTTGCATAAGTCAAAGAGTAAAGTTCCAAATATACTTTGGGGAACTGTTGCTGCTTTTCCGTGGCTGAGTGTCCCACTTCTTTGGGTCTCTTCATGCTGGAGGGCTGCAGGGATTAGGAACTCACACAGCAAGCTCTTTAGTCGTGAGACTTAATTAAAGGCCCCATTTCTACCCCAGCTGAAGCCTTTTTCTGAAAACATGCCCTGCAGGCACAGCTGCCTACCATGCCCTTCACCTACCTGTCTAACCCAAAGCACAGCCAGCAGGACATCCTCAACTCTCCCTCCACACCTGCTCACTGGTCCCAACCCCCATTCTCCCAACCTCAGATATGAGCTACGCCATCCTTCCATGTCAGAAACCTCAGCCATCCTCACTCTCACACACATGGGATCCACAGTCCAACCGTTTTGGCTCGCTACCTTGGAACACATCTGTGTATTCTGGATTTGATCTTAAATATCCCCCCCAAAGGCTCACTGTTTAAAGGCTTAATCTCCGTCCTGTGTGTGGCATTGCTGGAAGTGGTGAAAACTAGAGGAAGCAAATCAGGCTATTGGGAGGGTGGCCTGGAAGAGGATATTGGGAATCCTGCCTCCTTCTCTTCTCTCTGCTTCTTGGCTGCCACAAGGCAAGCAACGTTGTACCAGCACCCACCCTCCCTGTGAGACCATTCTGCGTCCACACTCGCCTAAAACCAATGAAGCCAATCAAGTGTGGCTTTGCAGCTCGCTTGTTGTAGGTAGGAGTCACATTCCCAGCCATGGGCTGCAAGGCCCTACATGACACAGGTCATCTTCTAACAGGAACTTTGGAGGCTGCTTTTGAGAAAACAACAAAAAAGCCACTGACTCCTCAACTTGGGCTTGCAAGTCTCTTCAGGGTAACTGCAAGTGTGACATCCTGGCCTCCATTTTGTATCTGGGTCTTTTGGCTGGGAGCCATTTCTCGTGTAGTTACTTTGCAGCCCTATCTTGGAATCCAGGAAGGACAAGATGGATGGAGAAACATACTAAGACCAGAAGTGATGCCATTCTGTCCCCAGCACCCACCTACCCTCCCACTCCACATAGCAATGATTCTTAAGTAAGAAGATCCTGCCTGCCTGACCAATCCTGAGACGATGACCACCTGGGGCCCTGGAACACACCTGTGAGCATGATGATTAAATAATTATCCATGCCTCTCCCCCGCTTGCCCTCAGCCCTTCCTCTAATTTAAACCTAGAGCAAATGTCTACATGGGAGGGGGAACTGAAAAGCCATCTTGCCTCTTCCCACAGTATTACTTAAATCTCCTTCCTCTGCCCTATCTTCCTGGGACACGCAGTTGCGCTTGACCTAGGAAACCCAGGCATTACTTGTAACTACCTAGTCCTGTTCTGTCTGGCCACTCCTCTGCCTGATCATTCTCCCAGAGGCAAGGACCAGCCTGCCTCTAGGCCTCTGCTGTGTTCTTTCTGTCTTTTACTCTCATTCTTTTCCCTCATGGCCTTTGCGGCCAGGTCCCTCACTGCCTCCTTTGGTCTCCAATCAAGTGCCACCCTCTCACCTAACAGCTCACCCACTCCTCTCGCAGGACATCCCAGACTCCTGCCATGTGTTCTCTACAGAATTTAGCATCTTCTAAGCATAGCACATTACTTAGTTCCCCAGGAGATAGGGGCACAGGGGTTTGGTGGGGGCTTTTGTCTTTTGCTTACCCAAGTATCCATTCAGCACCTAGTAGGCACTCACTAAAGGTGTGAAAGAGTCCTTTAGCGTCAATATATTTCCAGTAGCAAAATGCCAAATTTTATGTTAAGATCATTTTTTTCCAGGAAGAACATCACAGTCTTAAGAGACTCAAGGGATCTGTGACGCAAAAATGTCAAAATGCCACCAAACGCAGACACCTCAATTTAACAATGATTATCATAGACTTCTTCAGACAACTCATAGACTTCATTCACAGCTATTCGCTAAAATAAGGACGAACAACCCACCAGTGGTGTGATTATGCTCTGTTCTTGCTTCAGAATTTCTAAAAGAATCAAAAGATTTGCCTTGGGAATTCTTATGAGCAGCTTTTGAATAGACAGCAGCACTATTATCCTCAGTGAGAGCCAGAACACTGGTGAGGATGAATAAAAATGCATTTTCACACATCTGGAGCCAACTCTAATATTCATGCAAGACTGGAAGGCAAATGTTCACATAAGGCAGAGCATGCACATGCGCAGAGGTGATGCGCAGAGGCAATGACCCAGGTAGGCAAGGCAGCTGGTTGGGCAAAGGCTGTGTCTCATCGCCTGAAACCCACTGGGAAGTTAGCAAACCTGGTCCACAATCCTTTCTTCCTTCCCACCCACTCCTCAAGTCGAAAACAAAATGTCAAAAATCTTCTTAGCAATTGTCTATCGGGTACACAATACTGTGTAAAAGTCAAACACTGAACGCAATCTGGCTTACCTTCCCCGATCATAGAGACCCCCACGGACATGCCCATGAACTTGCTTTTGGTCCATACGTGAGTGTTGATGCATAGTCTCTTCTCCTTGCACTCACAGTAGAAGCAGGAGATGGGCGGGTGATGGGAAACTTGTTCAGCTACAAACCTGAGTTTGTAGCTTTTGGAAGGGTCATCGGCTACCGGGTGTTCTTGGCAGTCTGTGGGGGTGGGGGGAGCAGTCCTCTTGGGTTTGACCTTGTCCTTGGGAACTTCCCAGGAGCAATGAAACGTCTCACCAATGATGGGGTTGTAGGGCTTCTTGGCCAAGGCCCCCTTGCGGCCCTCATGGAAGGCTGTGAGATAATACTCGACGAAGCCAATGGCCCTCTCTTCTGGTGTGGCGCCAGCAGCCACAGCCAGCAGCAGGTCAGGGTGTGCCATAAAGTCAGCATACATCTCCAGCAGAGACCGCTTCTCCAGAATGAATGTGGGGAGCACCACCTGGACACAGAGGACACAAAGGCAGACAAGGGTTCCCGTGAATACAGGAAGAAAAGGCTGCAGCCCCTACCAAAAACCAGTCACAATGCACATGGACAAGAACATTGCTTTTGGGGCTGGGAAGGTGGCTCAGTGGTAGAGCGCTTGCCTTGCATGCCTGAGGCCCTGGGTTCGATTCCTCAGCACCACATAAGCAAAAAGAAAAAAGCCGGAAGTGGTGCTGTGGCTCAAGTGGTAGAGCGCTAGCCTTGAGCTGAAGAGCTGAGGGACAGCGCCCAGGCCCAGAGTTCAGGCCCCACGACCAGACCCAAAAAATTAAAAAAGAACATTGCTTTTGATGCCACAATGGGGCAAATCAAGGCAAAAATGATTTCAGAGGAATTAGAAGTGGCAGTGGTGCCCATGTGAAGCCAGTTCTGTGGAGAAACCTGGGGTCAAACAAGAGGCCCATCTCTCCACATGGCCAGTCCTAACACATACCCCTCCTTCCTCCCTGAGACACACAGGGAGACTGGGAAGGCTTCTGCATTCCTCTGCCAGTGGGGGGTGTTCTCCATGTTCCCCAAACCATGACAGTATACATAGTGTTGCAGCAAAAGACCAGACAGACCACGACCCACTGCCACCAAGAGTATTAGTGGAGGACAGAAGAGTGGTGTATGTACCCCCAACAGCAAGAGTGGCGCAAAAAAGTAGGCCCAGTGTCGGGCAGATGCCACCGCACTGCAATGGGAAAAGAGCAATATCACAATCCCATTTTCAGGGCCAGAGCAAACCAGGGGACATCAGAAAGAAGGAACAGGTGCTTAACAAGACAGGCGCCGGTGGCTCACACCTGTAATCCTAGCTACTCAAGGGGCTGAGATGTGAGCATCACAGTTGGAAGCCAGCCCAGGTAGACAACTCCTTGAGACCCTCCAGTTAACCAGCAAAAAGCTGGAAGTGGAGCGCAAATGGCAGGGCGCAAGACTTGAGAGAAAAAGCCAAGCAAGAGTGAAAGGCCCTGAGCTCAAGTCCCAGTACTGGCATAAAAATACTGTTAAATAGATTACTTAAATAGATAAAAGAGCTTAGCATACAATATCCTCCAGATCTCACAGGTGTTAGCCTACCTCCAAGTTTAAAGGAAATCCAGGTGGTCACCCCGGAGTTCCTCTACCCCAACGCCTACCACTCACTCAATGGCTAATGTCATTTAAGGCAAATAAAGGCCATGCAGAACCTGGGAACCTCACTGTTACTGTAAAAGAAAGGACAGCGAGCCTCCTGTTCCCACTCTGGAGCCAAACCCCAGCAGTGAGCACTACTACGCCACCCTGCCAGCTGAAAAACCCAGTCCCTTTTAATCTGGGCCATCTAACACTGCTCCACCCAGTGTGGTCCTAGAGGATTTTGAAGCTGGCAGGCCACTTGAACCTCAGTGACCTCTAGATTGACCAATGTCAAACCCTGATTATGCTGTCCTTCCTTCATGTGATTCCTGCATCAAGGAGAACGTACCTAAGAGCTGACAGTGACAGCACACAGGGTGGCAGACCCGCAACCCCAGCTCATGTCACTTCTCAAAAGACTTCCTTGCACGTTACACAGACACAATGGAAGGGAGAAGAAACGTCAGAAGAAGAAAGACAGGCAGATACACAAAGCACACAAATGTAGAGGCAATCAGACAACGCTCAGACCACCAGAAAAGTGAAGTTTAGGAGTCTGGTAGCCAGCTTTTAATACTACCTTTTATTTAAATAGTCTTTAGTATTTATGTGAAGCAAAAAAAAAAAAAATCAAAAAGCAAAACTTAAAAATGAACTTATAACACAATCCAAGTAAATCCATTAAAAGCTTTAAAATGTCAGCCTGTCTCTAGATGACAACACTAGTGATTTACACTTTGTTTTCCTAAGTATCTTTCTGCTTTGCCTTAAGAGTAAGACAGAAAATAGCAGCAGCCAATGAAATACAACTGTGCAAATCAATTTCTTAATTTTCTTTCTGGCACAACTTGATGAAACTGATTCTAGCTGCCCAAAGATCCCCTCGGAGCAGGCAGAGAACGTGCATCATACGCGGGCAGAATCTGGCTGGTGCCTGGCATTTCCTGTGTGTGTCCCCAGGGACAGGTCACACTGTCCAACGGCCGTCACTGACCCTTCTGAGGACTGCTCTTCCAAACAGCTCCCTGGGACCCAAGGCCCAGTTCCTCTCCCACTGCATGACCAAATAAATAACGAGCAAGCCATATGTCCCCAAACTGTCCCTCACCTGGAGTCCCTCAAGGATCCCTGGCTGACATCTCCCTGTAAACGGGCAGTACAGGTGATAGGCTTCAGCAACTAGAAAGACCCTCAAGGAGGCCAATCAATCAGAATAATAAAGCAGCCACAGGCTCCTTCCTACCACCCCAAGCAAATGCCATTTCCTCCTCCTTTCTCCCAGGTCTAGGAGGCAGCCGTGGGAGGAACAGGCCGAGGGCAGCCATCCTTGATGGAACTAACACCTTCAGGAGAGAAGTCTTCCCATCAGCCATGGCTCCCCCCTGCTCCATTCACCCCTGGGCAAGTGCTCTCAAGTCTGCACTGCAACTACAATGACAGGACCAGCTGCAACGTGTACTCTTTACTTACCTACTTTTAGAAAGGATAACATTTCCCCATAACCCAATCAGCCTCACTAAAACTTAGGCTGAAGAACTAAAAATAAATCAGGAAAAAATGTCCTTTCCGACGCTAATCATTAACCAAGCAGCACCAAGAGGGGCCAGAGACTGGGGAGTAGGAGAGAAAAGGAAGTGGATGGAGGCCACCCAGGGGCCCCAACGTCTGTAAAATTACCCCCCCCCCCAGTCCTCCAGAACTGTCTACTCTGCTGCCCAATGAGAATATATTCCTTACTCCAGTGGGTTTACTAGACTTAAGAGCCAGGATGGCTTGCCATCATTTGATGCTCCTGATTAGGAAGCTAGGAAAGACTGGGCACAAGTGGCTCATGTCTGTAATCCTAGCTACTTGGGAGACTGAAATTGAGAGGCCCATGGTTTGAGGCCAGCCCAGGCAGAAAAGTTCTCAAGGCCTCTTCTCAATCATGAGCTGGGTGGCCACGTGGTACCTGCCTGTTATTCTAGCTACAGCACACTACAAGAGGCCGGTTATATCTGGGTACATGGCCAAGCAAGAAGACCCTACGTCTCAAAAGTAAGCAAAAAAAAAAAAAAGAACCAGAGGCATGATTCAATGGTAAAAGTGCCTGTCAAGCAAGCAAAAGGTTCTTAGCTGAAAATTCCACGACTGCCCCCCTCACCAAAAGAGAAAAGAAGCAAGGGAAGGAGGTAGCACCGGCTACAATGTTGACTGGAGTTTCATCTTCTAGGCCCTTCTGCTGCCTACCCCTGCGTGGCAAAAAAGCCTGTCATTCACAAATGGGAGAAGCACCAGAGACCACCACAGTTGAACAACGGCCACAGCACAGTCCTCTTTCTGTAGCTTCCTGCCTCCCCTGTTCCCCTCCCAAGCCCTCTCCACACCCAGCCAGAACTAAAATTTCCCTAAGAGATCAAGTCCCACATGGCTCCATCTCTCACAATCTCAGATGACATCCTCACTTTCTCTGCTGGCTGTCCCCATGTAAGTAGCCACATTGCATGTCCTAGCTCATCTGAATCATAAAGGGTCACTGAGTAGCTCGGCATTGGTGGCTCCTATAATCCTAGCTACTCAGGAGACTGAAATCTGAGGATTGTTGGTACAAAGCCAGCCCAGGGAAAGGAAATCTTAAGACTCTTACCTCTAATTGGCCAGAAAAAAAAAAAGGCAGAAGAGGACCAGTGGCTATACAGCACCAACTTCGAGTGGAAAAGCTAAGGGACCGTTCCTAAGCACCGCACCCTGAGTTCAAGCCCCAGAAAAGGCACTAATTTTCAAAGAACCAATCCTGAAATTGCAGGCTCAGAGATCAATGTTCACAACCACCACTGAGCCCAGCAGAACACAGGATAGGTGTGGTGGCAAGACCATTCTCCCATCTCTCCATTTGTGCAGAATGCCAGACAGCCTGCAAAACCAGCGCCTGAACATTGCGAACAAGAGGTTGCCCTCTTTCTGAAAACAGATTTCTGCTCTTATTTCTTCTCCCATCTGACCCCTCCTGGGACCCTCCTTCTCTTGCCTGGTGCATTGCAAATAAGGCACTTAATCATTTGGTTCTTGGGCAGTGGACACTCTGGAGACAGAGCCAAGAAGTGCCGAGCGCTAATTGGGCTGTCTGCCTCTGACAGAGGTGAGTGATGGCCCAGCTGTTCAGACTGACGGCGTCCAAATGGCCTGGAATCGTGGCCGTAGATTTATCGAACCATCAATAAGGACTGCTTTTCTCCCATTAATGTAATTAAGACAATGAACTACTTTGATGGAAGTTTTTTTAAAAAAATAAGTAAAGAAGACTTGCATTAGGGACTCAGTAGACCATTAATTACATTTAAAGTTGTATCAATTCAGGAGTGAATAACCAATCTTTAGTTTGGACTCTTAGATATCTGAAATGAGCCATCACCCATCCGGGAAGGCAAAAGACAGCCCCGAGTCCCTACCCCTCATCAGGGAGCATGCCAGGCTGAATGAAGAACAGCAGCACCAGGGGCGACTGCCCAACAACCAGCTAACCACCTCACAGGCCATCTCCTTCAGAGCGGTAGAGATGGGCAACACCCAGCACACCTGCTTTAGGAAGCCAAGAAAGTCCACAAAACCCCAGCCTCACACAGCAAATGGTAAGTAACTCTGCCTACCAGTCTTTACTTCACTGGGCTCTTACCTGGCTAATAAGCCTCCCTTTCCTTCTGTTCTTCTCCAAAGCACTAACCCTCTTCATACCTAACTCTCCGTTCACAGAGTATCATGAAAGGGTTCACTGATTTGTTTTTTCTTCTGTATGTGCTGGAGTTTTGTGGAGCACATGGGCAGCAAAGATGGCGCTGGGAGGGGGTTGAGTGGGCAGAGCCTAATTTACTGGAGAGCACATGGCCAGCCAAGATGGCTCTGGGAGGGGTTGAGTGGGCAGACCCCAATTGATCTTCTGATCAGTGCCTAACCAGCCCGTGAGGGCTCAGGTGAATGATAGGGTGTGACCTTGACAGTGATTGGTTCCTCTTCCTCCCTTACCATACCACCCACCCTTGTTGTCTTTAAAAGGGGCTGCTCTCTGTTAATAAACGAGTTTTTCTACCTGCTGGATTTGGCTCCCCGCTGTGTCTGATTGTCTCCTGGGCTGAGGGAGGCTAGGGAACGGGCGAGCGCCGCACTTACCTTTCCTCGGACCCCGTCCGTCTTTCGTGGGACGGACGAAGACCCAACAGAGTTTAAACTCAGGGACTGGGTATTGGTCCCTTCAAGGCTAGTGTTCTACCACTTGAGCCACAGCACCATTTCCAGCTTTTTGCCTTGCTTCAGACTGCAGCCTCCTGACTAGCTAGTGTTACCATTGTGGATCAACCGCACCCCAGCCTTCATAAATATTATCTTGTACAATCTCCTCAGAAACCTGTGAGCAGGTATGACTGCTGTGTCCACAGGGGAAGAAATGAAGAATGAAGGCTGATATGAGTGGTAAAATAGCTAGAACCAGGACAGGACCTGGTTCTACTTGGGCAAAGCCCAGGCTGGACCCTTTAGGTCCCTTGGGGGGCTTCAGACTCGGGGTCGTGGACCCTGCCTCCTCCCAAACAGTGGGGCATATGAGCTCTTGCTGAGTGAGAATACCACACAATGATGCCACACCACACAATGTCCTGACACAGACCGCCAGGACAAGCTAAGTGCCAGGTCACTGCTGTGTCTTTTATTGAGAGGCAAAACTCGGGAGAAGCAGCAGTATCTGATGATATAAGGAAAATGAGACTTGGGAGAAGGGAAGTCAAGGCTGAGAAAGGGAGGAACGCAGTCCAAAGCCACTTAGAAAAGTTCATTTAACTCCATTTCCACTGAAGGAAGCTGTACATGTACATGACCCTAGCAATGACAGGAAGCCTAAAGTAGGAAACTCTTGGGGCATGAAATGGGGCTTGGGCACTATCCCTCAGCTTTTTCCCTCAAGGCTGGCACTCTACCATTTGAGCCACAGCTATACTTCCAGATTTTGATGGCTAGGTCCATAAGATAAGAGTCTCATGGACTTACCTACCTGAGCCGGCCTCACACTATGATTCTCCCAATCGCCACCTCCTGAGTAGCCAGAATTATACAAGTGAGCCACCTGCTCCTGGATTCCCTTGTTTCTGAATAATAGCTCCTGCCCAGTAAAGGAAGCAAGCTGATAAGATAAACATTGGAAAGTTTTCCTTACAGGTACCCAACTGAGCTTATCATAATACAGCATTTGTTCTTTTAGGACTAGAATAGGGCTGCAGAATTGCAAAGCAATCATAGCCTAATAAAATAATATACAAATACAAAATGTACGTCTTAATGATGATTTTTAAACCAAGTGAGCTACAGCATAAAGCCTTTTGAAGTAGTCAACTTGCCAAATTTAATTCCCTCCATGTTTTCTTGTTCCTCAACATAATTTCAATTTTTCTTATTCTCTGTCTTCTGCCACCCATGACTCTACCTCCGAGTTGTATTTTTAAAGAAGTAGGATCCACAACACACAGTGAGACCAAAGGAGTATACTTTTAGGAGAAGAACTGAAAAGCTCAATGCCTATGTGCAGCTGATCATACTAAGAATATTCATCAAAATGAACTCCAGGAAATGAAAACGAGAGGTTTTTTTTTTCTTTTTTGCTGTTTTTGTTTTCTTTCCTTCTTGTTCTGTTTGCTCCTTTATAAGTCTTCGCGAGTATAAGGCGAGGCACAGAAATGGAGGGACAAAAGGTGAACCAATGCAGCAATGGACACTGTGGCAAATGAGCGCTACAACTTGAAGGGGAGAAAGGGAGGAAAAAGCTGGGAGAGAGGGAGGGAAACGGTGACACTGTCCAAAAAGAGATGGAATCATTACCTGACTTACATAACTATAACCTCTCTATATACCGCCTTTATAAGAATAATTAAAAAATTTTAAATGAATAAAAAAGTATGATCTACAACGAGAATGCTTTACTGTGACCCAGAACGAGAGACTCAAACTAAAACTTACATGTGCTAGTCTGACCCACTAAGTTGGTTTTCCAACCCACAGTAGGTCATGACCGACCCACAGTTTAGAAACATGGTTTTAGATCTCACTTGCTGTACCTTGTCACCTATAAGCCATCAGAACTATCTTGCATCATCTGGGTCTCCACACGATCTTAAAAAGTTTCTTAAGAGCCCAGCCTTCTCTGAAGGCCAACGGCTTATGCCTGTCATCCTAGCTCCTCAAGAGGCTGAGATCTGAGGACTGGGGTTTGAAGTTAGCTTAGGCAAGAAAGTCAATGAGACTCTTCCAGTCAAAAGCTGGAAGTGGAAGTTCACTAAGTGGTAGAGCACCAGCCTTGAGCAGAAAAGCAAAGGGATAGCACCCAGGCCAAGTTTAAGCCCCAGCACCAGTATAAAAAGAAAGGTCTTTAAAAAAAATTTTATAGTTGAAAAATGGTAATTATATAACTAAAAGAATGAAATGAGGAAAGGCAGCAGGATGGAAAGCAGGTCTTTGTAGTTAGGCACACACACACAGGAAAGAGCTACACAGAGCAAGGGTGAAGCAAGGGAGTGTATGTTCTCAATTCTGCTTAGGGGTGCTGTCTCCCAGAACTTCAGACACACACCCAAACCCCTAAGAATATTGGAAGAAAAGACTTCTCAGTCATCTTTGAGGATTCCATCTCCTCTGGCATCATGTTTCATCATTTTCCTCATAGTTATGCCATTCACTTCTTATTCCCTGGCCTCCAGACCCTTCACAAGCCAATGCCCTGAAGCCTGGTCCTCGGGCTTGACTGCTCAGGAGGGGTCTGGCTGGCCTTCAGAATCGAAAGCTGCCACCCAGCACTTGCTCGCCAGAGGCCACTTCCACCTCTCTTGCTGGCCACTGCCTCACGCTGCGGCACCTTATCAAGGATACACTCCGTATCCTGTACCAGGCTAGGTCCTCTGCATGCTACCTCCCATCCCCACACATCACACTACCAAGGAGGCCAAGATGGTGGTCAGTGCTGGAAACGGAACCCAGGTAGGCAAAGCCAAAGTCCAGGCTCTTTTTACCATCTCTCGACACCATTTAAACTGTCCAACCACAGGCAAAGCTGCCTTTGCTGCCTGTCTCCAGAAACCCAATGACAGCCCTGTGGTGAGGGATGAAGAGTAGGAGGAGCCTCAACATAGCATAGTTAGGCTGCTGTGTTTCTAGAGCAATCACTGAGGAAGATGGCTGCCTGCACTCAGCACTATGAACCTACCCACCTTAGGGTTCCTCTCTGAACACACAGCCCATGAAATCTGCATCTCTAACAAGGCTACCCTTTGGGGACCTGCTGTGAAAGCTAACGGTAGCTGGCCGCAAGCATGAGGCTGGCTTTTCACTGTGGCAATGCTCCTGGCTCTGCCATTTTCCTTCGGCCTGTGTTTCCTCCACAGCCATGATGCCACCGCGCCCTCTAGAGGCCACCCTTAATCATCCCTAGCACGCAGCAGAAATAAAGGAGGTACTCCTGATATTTTCTATCATCAAATGGGGTCTAAGGTTCCCCTAGTCCTCCCAGAGCAGCAGCTCCTCCAAGGAACCAGATGTGAGGCTCTCATGTGGAGAATAATGAATAAAAACATCTTCTCTGGATGGGTGAGGGAGCGCGCGCACACACACACACACACACACACACACACACACACACACACACACACACACACACACACACACACACACACACACACACACACACACACACACACACACACACACACACACACACACACACACACACACACACACACACACACACACACACACACACACAGTGCTGGGGTGGGTGAAGGGAGGAGGAAGGATTGTTGAACTCAGGAATGGAGGCCAGCCTGGCAGTACAATGAGACTCCTTCTCAAATACTCTCTCTCCTCTCCCCCCTACCCCCTCACTTTCCAGCTACATCTGGAACATCCATTCTGGAAAGCTATGCTGACCTTTCCCCAGCTCACCACAGTGAGAACGCAGACAAGTGGTCACACAGCAATCCGGTGCGACCTACCTTGGTCAGATCCATCCCAAGTTTGAGTTGTGAAATGAGATGAAGAATTACACTGCGCTGATCCTCCATGACGCCCAATTCTGTCTCTTCCGTGTCTTCATTGTCACTTTTTTCATCTTCCGACAAAACCAATTCACGGTCTGAGTTTGGCTAAAACGAAATCATTAACAATCACCAGCTAGTCCTTTAAAAGTTAGAAATGCAAATCACTCCCATGCAAATCACACCCCACCCCCATTAAAACTAATACTGCCCCAGAACTTTCTCTGTAAGCCAGTCCTCCGAGACATGAGCAGAAGCCGATACTGCCCAGGGTCAGGCATCGCTCACCTCCGCTCATCTCTACGCCTCCAACCTAAGAACTGCCCCTGAGGGGGCTGGGAAGGTGGCTCAGTGGTAAAGCGCTTGCCTTGCATGCTTGAGGCCCGGGGTTCAATTCCTCAGCACCCATAAGCAAAAAAAAAAAAAAAGCCGGAAGTGGTGCTGTGGTTCAAGTGGTAGAGCACTAGCCTTGAGCTGAAGAGCTGAGGGGCAGCACCCAGGCCCAGAGTTCAGGCCCCACGACCGGACCCCCCCCCCCCCCAAAAAAAAGGAATTGCTCCTGATTTAAAAAAAATCATACAAAACCTCTTTGCTCTTTAAAAATCTAACTACAGTTAGTTTCTTTAAGTGTACAGATATGAGACAGCACCTCCAAAAAAATCTGACCCTCTGCAACCAATCCCACTAAGTTATTTAAACAAAGCCATTTTATAACTAAGATTTTTTTTCTGTTTATAAATAAAAGTCATATTCCCCCTGGGACTAAAATTGCTTTCTACATGGAAAATGTAACAGAGACTATGTCCACTCGATAGAATTACAGTGTCACTATGGCAAGTTTAAAGTCTCAGAATTGGCCTTAAAGAAGGAGACCAAAAAAATATGGCAAATTCAAGAAAAAAACTCTCCAAGCTTTATAACCATATATTTTGGCTAGATACTCTGCTTTCCTTGATCCAAGTTTATTAATTCAGTTTTTCAAATTACACAGAAAATGAGCAAGTTAATAAACAAAATGCCCAAGAGGATTATGAGCATAAAATCTGCTAGTACTCAGTATGGAGAACCCTGGCCACCATGTAAAGCTGTGCTTGGAATTCTGCTGACAGACATAAGGCCGTTTCACAGCTTCATGGCCATTATGGTCTCATGATGCTGCTCTGTAAGCAAAAGCACTCATAGAATGCTTTAGGAACATTATCAGTTTGTTTCCAGTTACTGGTAACACCTCAGACATAATAACTTTTTTTCTGTATGTGCCAGTACTGAAGCTTGAAGTCAGAGCCCTGCATTCTCACTTGGCTTTTTTGCTCAAGGCTGGCATTCTACCACTTGAGCCATACCTCCACTTTTGGCTTTTTGCTGGCTAATTGAAGATAAGAGTCTCTCAGATTTTTCTACCTGGGATGGCTTCCAACCATGACTCTCAGATCTCAGCCTCCTGAGTGGCTAGGATTACAGGCATGAGCCACCAGCAAATGTGGTGCTTTTATTTGAAAAAAAAAAAAACTGTTTAAATCTGAAAATATTAAGCCAAAAGGTATTAAATTTAAAGTTACCAAGTCAAAGGTAATAAATCCAAAAGATGTCCTTGCAAAAACTGATTTACTACCAGGCCTTAATGGCTCATGCCTTTAATCCTAGCTACTCAGAAGGCTAAAGATCTGAGAACCAAAGTTCAAAGCCAACCCTGGCAGGAAAGTCTATGAGATTCGTATTCCCATTTAACCAGCTAGAAGTGGAGCCTTGAATGAAAAAGGAACCTAGTAAGTTCAAGCCCTAATATTGGCCCATCCACACATGCACACACACAAACCCAAGAAAGTGAAGAGGTGACACTGTCCAAAATAAAATGTACTCATTACCTGAGTTATGAAATGATAACCCCTCTGTACAACACCTTATTTTTTATTTTTATTTTTTTGTCAGTTGTGGGGCCTGAGTTCTGGGCCTGGGCGCTGTTCCTCAGCTCTTCAGTTCAAGGCTTGTGCTCTACCACTTGAGCCTCAGCGCCACTTCAGGCTTTTTCTGCTTATGTGGTGCGGAGGAATCAAACCCAGGGACTCATGCTTGCAAGGCAAGTGCTCTACCACTGAGCCACCTTCCCAGCCCCTGTATAACCCCTTAATAAGAACAATAAGATTGTATTTTTAAAAAGGTGACACTCTGGGAGGCCAACTATCTTTCTCCTCAATTCCATATTTTAAAAATGTGCTAAAACGAGTCATCTAATTTAAAATTAGTACCCCAAACTTCAGGAATCTTCTCTTTGGATTACTCCTTTTCTAAATGTGAGAAATGAATAAATATTTTAACACGTAAAAAAAAAATCCACCCCTAAACCTGATGGCTTACCAACCTGAACAGACAGACCATGTTACATCTGAATACCCTTCTCCTACATACAGGCTATCTTCATGGTTGGTGCTTGTAAGTATCTGACCTAACCCCTGTGCTGGTCAACTCCCACCAACATCCAAAAAGGTAATCATCTACATTAGGTCTTCTTAAAATTTCAATTTAAATAGAATTTTCCATAGACACACTCCAAATCATCTTAAAGTCTCCTCTACATAACCTCAATTCTGGGCAGGTAAGGGGGAAGGCCTCCATGAAGTTTGCCTCTATCATATACTTGATTCTCTGGCCTTTTCCTGTGTTGCAGAACATCACTGGCAAGTTGCTTTGGTAGAACATACAGACATTATCAAGCTGTCCTAGCCCAGCGGAAATACCCAGATGGAAGTCTGAGAGCATTGCAGCCCTGTCTCTCCACCTCGAGCAGGACTTCATCCGTGTCCACTTTCTGCTGGGCTACAGGGGTTCCTAGGACCCAGGCACTGGGCCTGAATGGTGAGAGCTGGGTTTTGCAGGACACCAGCCTTCCACCAGCCTCCCTTGGGGCTCTGCCTTCTCTCTCTCCACTGTATTCAAGGCCAGTATTAAAGTGGCTATTGTCTGGGACAGGCACCTGGGGGGGGGGGGGGGGAGTGGGAGGGGGGTAAAGACATTCCTTTAAGGTGACCTGGAGCAGTTACCTCTCTGAAATGAATCTTCTCATCCCAGCAAGGGAGAGGAGAAGGCAGCATCTAGGTATTTTTTGCTTCAACTGAATCGACTAATATATCAAGTAAAATCAAATCATCAGGCCTCTGATTGCCAGTAGCCAGGAAGCCTTCTGCAAGATCTAGCCCTGGAAGAGATGGGAACACTAGCTTCTTTTGTTCCTCCCACTTTAGACTCACTTCATGTCCTCCCCTGGCCTGACTCCCCTCAATTCCTCTGGTTATAGCAGACAATGATGCTGGTGCACAGACCTAGATTGATCAGGGGAGGGGGCAGAGCTCCTGGGATCCTGATATCCCCTAAGGACCACGGGAGCCCAATAAACATGCCCCTCACTAACAGAGATCCTTAGCCAACCTCACTCTAACTTCACATAAGGTTCCAACAGTGGTTTGTCATAGCTACAGAGAATTACACACACATACACACATACACACACAATACACACACAGAGTTTGATAACAATAATTGTAATCAGTCCTCCTACCCAGCCTCAAGAAAATAATCAGAGGGTGTTTTTGTTTTGTGTTGGGTTTTGTCCACTCACCAAGTTGCTAGTAAATATCATAGAGGACCCATCTATCCTGCCCCCACTGGAGTTCAGTCCCTCTGCAAAAGGGACAGGCTAGTCTCTATGTCGGTCCATATTTGGGGTACAAAGAGTAAAGCAGATTAGCTGGCAGTATAAATATACTCTGTCAGCATCCACAGAGCATCTGCATGGCAGTCTGATGACCAGATTACAATAGGGGATTTGAAGGCCAACACCCTTCTTCCTTTTGAGGGTTTGGTGAATTCTGGCGAGGAGTTCAAAGACACAGAAAACAGTCTCTCAGTCTAAGGGCTGCTTTCCACAGCCAGGTGCCTGTGCTTATCCACCATTCTTCCCTGTCTTGGGAATGCCTGCTTTGTCCCTAAAAGGCTCACATCTTGCACACCTATAGACTTTTACCTGCACAGCCATGACAACAAACTGCAGGAGTTCGAGGTGGCAGAACGGTGCTTCTCTACATCAGGAAAAATGGACATCATAAGGCTCAGCAAGCAGCACTCCAGTGAATTTCTGCCTCCCCAGAGCTCATGGCAAATGAGCAAACCCAGCCACAAAAATGTGCACAAGCTTGAAGATCAAAAGGAATTAAAATTATGTCTTAAGGATCAGTAGGCTTAGGAAAAATGAGATATTTTTAATAAAAAACAAAAGTTATGACTATTTCTGCCACACAAGCACCTTGGGGCCTATGGAGTTACACATATTAATGCAGTTTATATCCATTGGAAGTGTCACAGAAAGACACATGAAAATTATGTGGTTGTCACCAGGCTACCTTAAAACAAATGTTGATGACAGCCAGTTAAGTTACCCAAAGCTCTCTGTGGTCTGAAAAATCATTTCATGTACACACTACTGAGGTGAGTCTATAACTTGAAATGTGAACTCTTTTTTTTAGGGTTAAGAACAAACTATAAAAATGTTTTTTTAAAAAAAGTCTTAGAGTTTTATTTTCAAACATGCCCATAGTTTAGTTATCTGTAGCTGCTTTGTATTGGAAAAGCTTTTTAGATCTTGCTCCATTTACAATACATTCTAAGGATGTATGTAGTAAAGCTTTCTTTAAAGCAAAAAAAAAAAAAGAAAGAAAATTATGTGGTTGCAAAAAAGGTTGGGGATTAGGGACTTTCTTTGATGGCCTAGCCATAGTCTGGATCCAATGAACATTCTTGAAGATGTCCACTACCATCCTAGAACTTTTAGGCTAAGAGTGTGCATCTGGAAAAATTTCTGGAAAGCCCATAGCTCTTCTTGGAGATTCACCATTCCCAGGATGCTCAGAGTCCTTGCCCCCTTCTTAGCCAGCAATGAGGACCTGAAAAAAAATGTGCTCAAGGGGTAGAAAAGTCTAACCAGGTCAGTCACAGCACCTGACTTCTACAACTCATCCTGCAGGTTTGCCTATCCAGGAGACAACTACCAAGAGCTATGGCCAGAAGAAAAATTGTTACCTGTTTTAGATTTCATGGGTTCAAAAGCTCTCACTTGG